GGGCCGCGGGGAAGGGGCACGGAGAGACGGTACGGACCGGCGCGTGCGGAGATGGGAAGGGCCCGAGCATGGACTCCCTCGCCCCGCACAGCGGAGAAGCCCAGAGCTGGCGCAGACTGTCACTTTGCAGGCCCGGATCCCCGTCCCTGCACCGCGGGCACAAGCTGGGCCCCCACTCCTGGAGGCGCTGTCCCTCGACAGGCACCGGACTACAGCTCCCAGCAGGCCCCGCGAGCCCTCATTGGCCGCTGCCTCAGGCGCGCTTGCCTCCCTACTTCCGCTTCCGGCCTGTGGCGGCGGTTAGCCGCGGCGCTGGGGGCGGCGGGTTTGAATCGGGCCTTTCCCCTCCCCCAGCTGGGCCCGGGGCTGATCCCGCTGCCATGAACTTCTCGGAGGGCTTCAAGCTCTCGGGGTTGCTGTGCAAGTTCTCCCCCGACGGGAAGCGCGTGGTGAGGGCCGGGGCTGGCGCTGCCCACGCGCGATGCGCTGCGGAGACGCCTTCCCCGAGGGGAGGCGGTGGTTGGGGTTTCCCTGCCCTCGGCTCTGCTCTCTGCCGTTGAGAGGGCGGAGGAAAGCGCCTGTTTGCGGCTCCCCTGCCTGGTGGCCGCGGTCGGGGCCAGCGCGCCTTCTCCGCGGGTCCTAGAGAAGCGAGTTTCCCTGTTGCGTTGTCGAAATGGGGATGAAAACCCATAGGGTGATTTTTCTCTTGCAAAGACCTGAGAGAGGCCAGCGCTGCCCCCCTGCGAGCCGTGGGCCTGCGCCTCCGTTCTGGGGCAGCCCCTGGCTCCCTCGAAAGGATCTGGGTGGGCTGCCCAGGTGCTGTCCTGCTGGGCTGGGGACGTGCTGGCATAGACATTTCTTGTTGAGTTTAAGCAAGTTTGGATATTCCTGTATTTTAAGTCTGTTCCTCCCCCATTCCTGTGTGTGTTCGTAGGTGCTTGTAGCTATTAATATCTTACAGGCACAGTTCATGAAAAGATGCCTTCTTGACATGGCATGTAATCCTGTGCTTGCTGCAAAAGTCCCGTTGCAGCTGTTAGTGAAATAACTAGTGTAGGGACAACTGAATGTTGTTCTTCTTGGATGAGGCTGACTTAGATTGGGTTGTGTAGTGAGGATGTTGTTACCAAGGGAAAGTTCCTATACTTTGCTTTGTTGTAAGATTTAGGCGTTTGTTTAGTGCACAGGTTTCACAAAATGTCTGGATTTTTTTATGTGTTAAAACACCACCACTCAGAGCCTAGAGAGGGGCGGCTTGCGTTCCCGAAGCCACTACTGATATTTTTGGGGACAGTGGGCAAGTCACTTCACCACACTGTGTCTGTGTTTCCTTTTGAGCCCTCACTGATCAGTCTTGTTAAATTGTAAACTCATAGAGCAGTACAGTACTTACCACAGTGGGGCTTTGACCTCAGTTGTGGCCTCTTGACTGCTACAATAATGAGATGTGTGAAGGGGAATACAAACATGATACTACCTAGTCCTCAGAGAGAGATTCATGCTTTTCAAGTTTTTTCTTTCTTTTTCCACTCCTTAAACTGCAGGAGATGGGGGAGGGAGGACTTGAAAAGTAATTAAAACAAAAATTTACTGGAACCAGTTAGTGCATTGTGTGTTTAAAGCTTGAGGAAATTCAGTGTCCCTCGCTCCCTCTTTGGGCATCAGATATTGATTTTTTTTATTTATTTTTTTTTTTTTTTTTTTTTTTTTT